GGCCTGGGCAAGCGGCCCCGCGCCGCCGCCCGCCCGCGCACTTTGCTAGCCGCCGCCGGGGAAAGTTGGGCGGCCCTTCCCGGGGGCGGGTAGACCCGAATACTGGGCGGAGGGGGTTGGGGCGCCCAAGCTGGGTACTCCCCGGGCCCGGGCACGCCCTGCCCTCCTTCCCCAAGAGGCGAGCCAAGTGGCACGCAGGTAGGCGGAGGAGAGGCTGCCCGCTTGGGAAAGAGGCGACTTTGGAGGGCACCGGGCGACCTGAGTGCCCGGCCCAGAGTCCCCTTCCCGCGGCCACAGGTGAGCGGTGGGAGGGCTGTGAAGGGGGCCCGGGGAGAGGGGGTCGGAGAGGGCGCTCCAGGGCCAGCGGCAGGAGGCAAGGTCAAGGGAGGCCCTCCGTCTCTGGGCCCTGGCTCCGGCCACCCTGGGCTGCCCTTCGGTTGTCCCGGAAGGCTTCCGCTGGAGGGGGGGGGGTGCTCTCGAATGCTCCCTCTCAGTAGTGGAGTCTGGTGAGCAAAAATGCAATTTTGTGAGCCCCTGGCATTGAAGTGGTGAGCGAGCGGCTTGACTACTGCATAAATTAGCTTGCTCCGGAGCCCTCCTTCCTGAGCTAAGACAGAAATGTGTGAGCCGGAGGCTAAAAGAACTGTGAGCCGGCTCACACAAACTCAGCTTGGAGGAAACACTGGTGCTCTCCCCCCTGCACCTCCAGCCCGTTCCCCTCCAACGAATGGCCTGAGGTCTCCTGCCGGGGGACCTTGAACCAAACAAGGGCATTTTTAAAACCTTCACTGCCTGTTGGTTTTTCAGGCATTCTTTGGAGGGCCTCGCCCCCTCCTCGGGCGGCCACAAGATCCTCTTTCACACCGGACCTGCGGGGAGAACCAAGCCGGGGCTCCGGGAAGCAGCTCAGCTATGGGATGTGGGGTGGGGGGAGATACTCAAAGGGCCTGCAGGCAAGCAATGCTCCCTCTAAGCTGTGGAGTCCTGTGAGCAAAAATTCTACTTTGTGAGCTGCTGGCATTAAAGTGGTGAGCGAGCGATTGGGCTGCTGCATCAATTAGTGTGCTCTGGAGCCCCATCATTCCTGAGCTAAGACAAAAATGTGTGAGCTGGAGGCTAAAAGACTGTGAGCTGGCTCACACTGACTCAGCTTAGAGGGAACACTGCTCCCAAGCCACACTGAGAGTAGACAGACCGATCCAGTTCACATGAACACGTGAAGCTGCCGCAATACTGTATCAGACACACACACACACCCCGGTCCATGAAAGTCCATATTGGTCTACTCAGACTGGCAGCGGCTCTCCAGTGTCTCAGGCGGGGGTCTTTCGCCTCCCCTCCTGCAACTGGAGATGCTGAACCGGGGAGCTTCCGCGTGCCGAGCAGCGGCTCTGCCCCTGAGCCAGGGCCTCTCGAGGTCCGTTGTGACCGGCTCTCCCTTGCAGGGTCCCCCGGCTGCCACGGCACCATGGCCTCACGCATCCTGCACCGCCTGCGGCACGCGCTGACTGGGGAAGGGGAGCAGGAGGGGCTGCCGGCCTGCGGCTTGGAAGCCGAAGAGTTTCCGGAGAGCTCCGAGCTGGAGGACGACACAGAGGGCCTCTCCACGCGCCTCAGCGGGACGCTGAGCTTCACCAGCAACTATGAGGAGGAGGACGAAGCGGAGGAGGAAGCCGCCCCCGGTGGGATTAGACCGGGCCCGGGAGACACCCAGGATTCAGAGCTGCTGGGGGTGGCCCCGGAGGATGGAGGTAGGGGTCTGGAGCAGGAAGGGGGGCACGACCCCACCAACAGGGGCCGGTCTTTAGCCCCCTGGCAACAGCTGGCATCAGAAACTAGCCGAGGTGGCCGCCTGCGGACCCTTGACTGCAGAGGATGCCTCCAGTTGGCAATATCGGGGTGAGGGTGGGGTGTTCCCATCAAGCAGAAGTGGCCTTCCCGGGTGGGGGTGGGTAGCACCCAAGCCACCGCCATGCATTCCAGGCCAGGAGGAAGGCCCCACGGAGTCTTTGTCTATTGTAGGTATGCAGGGCTGTCTTTCAGTTATGCTCCTGCAGAGTGTCGGGGGTTGGACTAGATGACCGGCAAGGTCCCTTCCGACTCTTAACATTCTATGATTCTTTGCTCCCTCTCTTGTCGTCGTCGTCCCCCTTTGGCGCAGAGCACAGCCCCCCCTTGGCCGAGCGCCAGGGCAGCAACATGCTCACCCGGCAGCTGCAAGAGCTCTGGCGGAAGTCGCGGGGCAGCCTCATGCCCCAGCGCCTCCTCTTCGAGGTGACCAGCGCCAACGTGGTCAACGAGCGCAGCTCCAAGTACGTGGTGAGTGAGGAGGCGGGAGGCCCCCGGTCTGTGGGGGGGGGGACGGTTCGGTGCTCCCTCGAGCCCCGCCCCGCCCCCTGCTCTGGGAAGGAATCCGGAGACCCTCCTCTCCGGCGTAGCTCAGGGCTGCTGCAGCGGGGAGAGGAGAAGGGCCTGCCGGGACGGGGCCTCCCTTGCTGCCCTCCACCAGGCTCTCGTGGGGGCCTCTTTGCCTTCTGGGGAGGGGGGAGCTGGCGGGTCCTGGCCCACCTGATTCTTGTCTTCCTTCCTCCCTGCTGCGGCTGGCGCACGGCCGGCTCAGAAGAGCCTCAGGTAATTCGCGTCAGAGGCTGCTTCTGCTTCCCCCGCCTTAGGGGCATGCATGCGGGTGTGGTCCGGGGGAGAGGGGGGATGTTCTGTCCCGCTAGAGGGATCGGGTGGCTCCTGGGTGCCGCCACCCCCCCCTCACCTCTCCTGTCCCGCCCGCAGCTCTACACCGTCTACCTGATCCGGGCGGGGCAGTTTGACAAGGCCCCCGCCACCATCACCCGGCGCTACTCGGACTTTGAGCAGCTGAACCGGCACCTGCGCCGCCGCTTCAGCGGCGACATGGCCGGCGTCTCCTTCCCGCGGAAGCGGCTGCGGCGCAACTTTACCGCCGAGACGATCGCCAAGCGCAGCCGGGCCTTCGAGCAGTTCCTCTCCCACCTGCACTCCCTGCCCGAGATCCGCCACTCCGCCGAGTTCCAGCAGTTCTTCTTCTTGAGCGACCTGCGGGCAGCACAGCGCCTGACATGCACGGGCCTGTACTGCGAGGCGCTGGCGGCGTGGACCAACGCCCACCGGCTGCAGGACAAGCTGGGCGCGTGCCGCACGGGCCACTTCTTGCTGACCCTGGCAGGGCTGGCCGTCTGCCACCAGGAGCTGGAGCAGCTGGCCGAGGCCCACGCTGCCAGCGAGCAGGCCCTGCAGCTCCTGGAGGCCCAGAACAGCCACCCGCTGCTGGCCCCCTTCCTGCAGGCCCACGTCCACCTGACCTGGATGCTGGGTCAGGACAAGCGGCAGGCGGAAGCCCGCCTCCAAAGCCTGCAGGACGCCGGCCTGGCCGGGCCACAGCCCCCGACCCTGAAGGAGCTCCTCGTCAAGCAGCCGCTGCCCTGAGTCTGCGGGAGGACGTGCGGGAGGACCGTCTGGCTGGCACTGCCAGGGACAGGAGTCGGACTGCTCCCCCGGCCTAGCTCGCTGGTCGCCATCTCTGCCGGGGGAGGAAGGGGTGCAGGAGATTTGACCCGGGGTTCTTAATAGTACTTGAATGCTTGAGGGGGACAAGGGACAACCGTCTGCCTCACAGGATGACACTAACCCCTGCCCCGCACAGGCAGGAAAGCCACAGGGCAGGTAGGGAACCCGTCAGCTAGCAGAGGCGGCTTCTTCCAGCCCCCACTGCTGCTGCTGCTTTGGGAGGGAAGTCCCATGGAGGTGCTGCTGCCACTGCTGGGAAAATGACAAAGGGAACCTGGGGGAGGGGTGCTGCCATGGAACTTCCTTCCCCTTGGCGGCATGAGCCCCCCGGCAGTGGCGTGGTCTCTCCAGCAACAAGGGGGAAGTTGTCGCACTGTTGCCACAGCATCCCCCCCCCCCAATAACGGTGCAATAAGAAAGGGCCCCTCCTTGTCACAGGAGACCAGAGCCTCACGGGAAGCCTCAGTCACTTTATTAGCCATAGGAAGAGTCTGCAATTAACAAGCCCAATAAAATAAGTGCTACCGACCCTGGTTTGTGTGTGGATTTCTTTGCACCTGCCCTGTTCCGTCCCCTCCCCGCCCCAACCCTGCCAGCTGCCTCCATAGGTGAGCCATTAAGTCCAGGAGGACCCAGCAGAAGCTGGGGGGGGGGGAGGCATTTGCTAGAGTTTGCTCTCGGTGGGAGGCGCCTGCACTCTGATGACTCCTTCCTGGGCGCAGCTGACTGCCAGCACGCCATCCCTGCGCCACAGCCGTCCGTGCACCAGCCCTCGGCAGCCGCCTGCGAGTGAGAGAGAGAAGGGGGTGGGGGTGACTGCAGCAGCTGTAGACCCAAGTACTGCCTGAGCCCCGTCCCATCCCCGTGCACAGGCAGCACCTACCGGCCCAGGGGCTCTCGCATTCGTACAGCATCCAGTGGTCAGCTCGGAAGGGGGCATGGAACCACATGGAGTGATCCAGCGAGACCATGAATCGGACGCGGTGGCGGTGAGGTAGCAAGGCTGTGCCCAGGAATGCGTAGTCGGAGATGTAGGCGGCCACGCAGCAGTGCAGCTTCATGTCACAGTCGCCTGTAAGCCAAATAGGGACCCCAAGCGTATGTGATATACAGAAATACAAACTGCAAGGGTAAACCATCAAAAAATTCACAAATTTCACAAGTTACCAGTAGACATGAGTCTACTGCAACATAGTTATAGTAAGTCAATTGATAAAGTAGAATTGGTGGTCACAATTCAAAAGCACAAGTTGCCATACAAACATTTAACAAGAGAAGGTATGACAATTCAATGGTAGGGGAAAAAAATCCAACAGTAGACGACTCTATATCCTTTCAGTATAATAGTGTCCAAAAGACCTCAAAGTCCACACAAACAAGGCAGAGGATGTCCCATTGCACAAAGAAACTTCTGCAGCCAAAAACGTCCTTCCTAGGTATGCCAGACGTTTCAAAGCATTCTCCCTCAGTTATACGGCTGAAAAATGGAACCTGATTCCATAATAATCTAGGCACAGCTCATGTCTCAAACGGATAATTATGTTGCAATAGATTGATGTCTACTGGTAACTTGTGAAATGTGTACATTTTTTGATGGTCTACCCTTGCGGTTTGTATTTCTGTGCAGTCGTCTGTAAGGCACAGGTTCCCCCCTCAGAGCCCAGCCCTATTTTTCTCGGAAGAAGGCCAAAGGACACCTGGGGCATGAAGTGGTGTCTTGCCAGCACCAGCTGGTCTGCGAAGCAACATTATGCCATGCCTGAGCCAGCTGCTGGCATCCCAGTCCAAACAGGCAGAAAGGTGCAAACGACCCATAAGGCAAGTTTCAAGCCCTCACAGCTGTGGAGGTACAGCTTAAGCCACTGGGGACACAGCCGTGCCAGTCTTTTGCAACAAAAACCAGACTGGAGGAAGTGATCTCTACACAAGCTTAGGCAGGCACCAAAACCTGGTCACAAGGCTACATCTCCAGTTGCAGAGTTGAAGCCAGCATTTCTCCCTCCGGCCCTCAATCAGCGTGGTGTAGTGGTTAAGAGCAGTGGACTCTAATCTGGAGAACCAGGTTGGATTCCTCACTCCTCCTCCACATAAAACCTGTTGAGTGACTTTGGGCCAGTCCCAATTCTCTCCAAACTCAGCCCCACCCACCTCACAGGAGGGAGAGGAAGGGAAGGCAATCGTAAACTGCTTTGAGACTCCTTTGGGTAGAGAAACGTGGGGTATAAAAACCAACTCTTCTTCAATCAGGAAATTCAAGCAAAGTGTACAGGAGCATGGTGTTTCGTAGCCCCAAAGTCTGCTGTGGGGCAGATCCTGAGGGTGCCAACACACAGGGCTTCTTACCAATGTGGCCTCGGGCCCGGACCCAAAAAAGCTGCTTGGGCTCCTGGGGGTTCTGGTGGAACAGGTCAGGCGGGTTGACCGGCTTCATCTCAATGGGGACCTCTTGCGCCAGCATCTTGTTGAGTCCCCGTCGGTACTTCTCCATGAGGTTTGGGTCCCTTTGAAAAGGAAGAGGCCAGGCTGGGAAGAGACGTGTGAGCAGAACCCGGGCTCCACCCAGCGGGGGAGACTGGAGCACCAGCCGGACCTCAAGAGCTGCCGACGCTGTTTCCCTGCCTAAACTCCATATACAAACTGGGCCTAGCAGGAGCTAACACGGTTCAAAGATTGTGGTGGCTCCAAGCATCTTGTATTGTGCAAGACAGAAGGAACACGGACCCAGGGCAAACCCAAGGTGAGTTTTTAACAGGATGCAAAGTACAAAGCAAAGCCTGGTTGTCCGACCAAAGGTTCTTGCCATGATACAGAATGTCAGAGAAGCCGAAACAGGCCTGGGCCACCCGGTGGCATGAGAGCCAACTGCACCGGAGCAGCCTGGCATCTTTGGCTGATCCTGCTCATGCCATGGTGTACCCCCTCCCTGCTATACTCACTGCAGGTACTGCTGGATGAGTTCCTCCTGGGTCTGCAGCTCCTCTGGGAGGGGCACGTCAGGCATGTGGAACTGGTGCTGCACGGGGCTGGCTTGAACCTCTTGGAAGGAGGCCTGGCAGATGAAGATGGCCTTCCCATGCTGGATGGCCTTGACTGAGCGCACGGAGAAGCTGCGGCCTGTGCGGGTGCGCTCGACCTGATAGAGGACCGGCACTGACGGGTCCCCTGTGAGCAGAGGGTGCTGCTGTTAGTGCCAGCTAAGCTGATAACACCAGCACTGAGAAGCAGGCTAGAGCAGTCCAGCTGGACCGTCACCACAGCCTGACTAGTCCAGCGCCAGTCAGATGCTGCAGGAAAGCCCTTGCTGGCATCTGGAGGCGCCATTTCTGTGATCAGATCCAATAAGAACTGATCACACACACACACACAGACCCTTTTAATCTGGCTGAGGGCCATTGCACCATATGTCCAGGCAGTGAGTACCAAAAATGAGCCACTCCTGGTAGGAAGCCGCCCACCCTTTTGTCTCTTTCAAAACTGCTACTACTAAACAGTTCAATAAAATTCCAGGGTTAGGGTTGCCAACCTCCAAGTGGCGACGGGAGAACTCCTGGGATTGCAACTGATCAGTTCCCCTGGAGAAAATGGCCACGTTGGAAGGTGAACTCTATGGCATTCTAGCCCGTTGAAGCCCCTTTCCTTCCCTAAACCACGTTCTTCTCAGGCTCCAGGCTCCCTAAATCTCCCCCCCCCTCAAGCCAGCAACCCTCCCTGCTGAGCTCTGAGAAGGCGAACAAACTCTCTCCCTTCCCCCCCCCCCCAGCCCTTCGTGGGCCTCGGCCCCGCCCGCTCCCGCACCTGCTCGGACGAAGTAGCAGTGGAGTGAGTGGACCTGCAGCTCCTCGCCCACCGCCTTGGCGGCCGCCACCAGTGCCTGGCCCACGATCTGCCCGCCGAAGAGCCGCTGCGAGACGGGCACCCAGTAGTGCCTCCCCCTGCGCCGGCCAGACGGGGAGAGGGAAGAAAAAGAAGAAGAGATGGGGATTTATACCCTGCCTTTCACCACCCGAAGGCGTCTCGGAGCGAGCCTTTCCCTCCCCACAACAGACACCCTGTGAGGCAGGTGGGGCTGAGGGAGCTCTCCTGAGAGAACTTGTGACTGATCCAAGGTCACCCAGCTGGCTGCATGTGGAGGAGGAGGAGGAGGAGTGGGGGCATCGAAGCCGGTCCTCCCAGATCAGAGTCCGCGCTTCTAACCGTCACACCAAATTGTCGATGAGACCCCGCGATCGCCGCCGCCGGCCCCTGGCGCAGGCGGGAATCCAAGCGGTGCGTCTCCTCCCCACCCCCTGAAGTGGCCGCCCGACTGACCGGAAAAGGTCCAGGTCCAGCGGCTCCAGGTTCAGGACGCTGGTGACCAGGACGCTGCGCAGGTCCCCCGGCTGATCGGCCGCCGCCGCCGCCGCCTCCTTCTCGCCGGGAACGCCGCCGCCCTCCGCGGGGAGAACCCGGGAGCGACCGGCATCGGGACGCGCCGCCATCTTGCTCGGTCACATGACAGCCGCCTAGGCCGGAAGTGCGCCCGGCCGCGCTCGGAAGCGTCTTTCCCCAGGAGGCGGCGGCGACGGTGCGGCACTTCCTGCCGCGGCCCAGGGAAACAGGAAGTCCCCGCCCACCGGCCACCTGGGAGGCGGTTGGCGCGCCGGGTCGTCGCTCTGGGGTCACGTGGGGGCAGAACTCCCTTCCCCATTGGCCGAGCGGCTGCCGCTTCTTCGACATGGCCTCTGATTGGTCACTTCCACGGTGGGGGCGGTGCCTCCGCCTGGGTTATAGGAGGGCGAAGCGGCGTTGCTGGGGCCCTGTCTGTGGTGCGGGTGCGAGGGGAAGGGCTGGGGAGGGGCGCTGCGGGCGGCGAGGGGTTAAATGTTCCTCCACCCCCACTGGGTAGCAAGGGGTCAGGGGGGGGTTGAAGACCGGCCCTTGGGCTGGAAGGGGTTAAGCCTGGGGGGGGTGGATCAATCTCCCTCCTCCTCCTCCTGGAAGGGCCCCGCCCAACCCCGTAGCAGTGGGGGGTCAGGGGAGGACTAAGGAGCCCCCCCTTGACCTGAGGGGGAAAGGAGGTGCCAGTTGCAGGCAGGAAGGGGTCAAAGGGCTGGGCAGGGGGCCCTTCCAACCCCCCCACACACACCTTTTGGCCCTCAGGTGGGCAGGACAGAGAGCCCCTTGCCTGGAGGGATGCTGTGCTGAGGGGTGGGGCTCGGCCTCCCACCCTGGCCTAGGAGGGGGGGGCGATGGAGGTGGGCTCCTGCTTCAAGAACTACGAGGACTTCAAGGAGTGCTTCCAGACCTACAAGAAGGAGAACCGGCTGCAGTATGGCTTGAAGAACTGCGTCTCCGTCCGCTTTTACAATCGGAAGAACGGGACCAACATCCGGGAAGATGTGGTGTAAGTGGCTGGGGAGCTGGAGTGGCTCTTCTCCAGGTGGGGCTCGGGGATCTCCTGGAACTGCAACTGGCCTGTAGGCCGCAGCGATCAGTTCCCCCAGAGAAAATGGCTTCTTCGGAGGGCGGACTCTATGGCATTATGCCCTTCTGAGGTCCTGCCCTCCCTAGGCTCCGCACCCAGAACTTCAGGAGTTAGGCTTACCAAGTGGCGGCGGGGGATCCGCATGTCTTCACAGGATCCCTGCTGCGGGGACGGCGACACGCGTTGCACCGCCGTTGCCAGGATGTGACGCAACGCGTAGCTCTGGCAACGGGGCTGTTTGGAGTCCCGTTGTCAGAGCGACACGTAGCATCACATCCTGGCGATGGTGGGTGCAACGCGTGTCGCTGTCCCCGCGGCAGGGATCCTGTGAAGACATGCGGATCCCCCGCCGCCACTTGGTAAGCCTATCAGGAGTTTCAACCCAGAGTAGGCTGAACAAGGATCAACAAACCAGGCTTTGGCTGCTCTCTACACATGCCAGGTCCGCACACCTACCCAGTATTCTTTCAAGCAGGCCTGGCAAGCGTCTTGCTGTCTTGCCCTAGCAGGCTCACACACACCCTTGTTAATACACATGTCTTGTGGAACAAATTCAGCAGTTCCTGCGTCTTGCTAAGATTCCATGGTGTAGTGACTCTTCCTTCATAACTGGGACCCTCTAGTGGATGCAGAAATTCCAACGATGCGTATCGCAGCCTAGCTGTCCTCAAGATTTCCTTCTGCATGTTTTTATTTGCATGTAACAGCCTGATCAGAAGTTAGACCATTGGTTTGTCTAGCTAGGATTCTGTTACTTTTCCCTTCCACATCCGATGAACACTTTTCACTTTCAGCAAATGTTCCATATGTGGGGGAGCATAGTCTCCTCTTTCCTTTCAGAATGATGGACAGCAGCAGTGACTTCTGTGACGGTACCTCTTTTGTGTTTTGTGTGGTTAGGTGTGAAGTAGTTTTAAATTTCTTGTTTCTTTCTCTCACTTGAAGTATCTATTGCTGCCACCAGGAATTTAATTCCAGTCTTAAATTAACCTTTCCCATAGTATTGTGCCCAAGCTATAAGGCACCTTCGTTGGTCTATGTGGTTCTGAGGATAAGACTCTGGGTTAACAATAAATAAGATAAAACTTTATTGGTAAAAGAAGTGTATTGGTTACAGGATGATTTGTTAAGTTGCTTAGTAGCATCTTTCCCTTTTTCTCAGGTCTCTGTCAGCTTTTCCCCTCACATTCTTAAAATACTCAGATAATATTAGATTTTGCCTAAATGCCCCTTTAAGTATATGTTCTTCCTCTTTTAGAATCTTAATGCCTTTCCCAGCACCTCTGTATGATTCTATTTGGAAGACTGCTTCTCTGACTCTGTAGATTGACCACAACTGACAGCTACTGACTGCTGACAAAACACTTCAGACACAAACTCCAAACGGAACCCTCTGCCTTCTCTCTCTCCACACACACACAATTCCTAGCTCCACCCACACACTTTCAGTCACCCACCAATTACCTCACTCATCTCCCTCTTTCACCCTCCCCTTGTTCTTCTGACACTTACCAACCATTTTAAAGGAACATACACTTATAACTTGGAATCATTACAGCTTCTCTTTCCACTTGACTTTTGCTATAAGCACGGTCAAGCTTCCTGCAAAACTTCAGTGGAAGAGGCACAGGCATGCCATCCTGCGTAAATCCCTTGCATGTGGTGTAGGAGAGATGGGTCTTTTCCCAGCCTTGTGACCTCAGCTCCTGGCACATTTACCCAAGTGTTAGTGGTGGTATCAGGCCGCCACATCTGGAGAGGCTGCAGAGAGCTGTCTCATTCTCTACTTGGGTGACGTCTGTAGCCCAGGCAGAGAACCAGACTGCTGTTCCTAGGGCCAAGGAGCACAGCATGATGCAGGCACAAGAATTAGGAAGGAGAAGGGCCGAGACTTGGCCTGGTAGCCCAGAGTGTCAGCTGTGAGTGGCTTCTCAGACTGCTAGGGAGTGCTGCAGACCTGGAGGGTGGAGCTGGGGAGTAGGTTGGGGCTGGCCTCCAAATTAGGGAGCATTCCAGGCAGCAGAGCCCATAGGCTGGCATTTGCCACCTCCCAAAGCCGCAGCAACCTGAGCTGCAGTGTTAGGAGAGTCAAGTAAAGAATAAATATACACTGCAAGAACCTTTTGTAAATTAACGTGTACTGTTTATCACTATTATTTTATAAAGTGCACTATTATAACATCCTTGTCAGGTACATATGTTCAGTACATTCAGTGTAGCAGTAACATTCATTCATTCAGTTTAACAACTACCAGTCAATTTAGCACCAGTATTTTAAAAGTCAAGCCCCAACGGGAGTTTCCAGAATTACAAGCCCGCTTCTACTTGCATGAAGTCTTCCAAAAGGGGGCTGCATGAATGACAGGAGCGCTCCGTCCATTAATTTTTAACTGCACAATGTGTCTTTTGTAGGACCGGCAATAAGCATCAATGCAACTATAAATGAAAGCCCCCCCCCCCCTTTGGAAGACTTCATGCAAGTAGAAGCGGGCTTTTAATTCTGGAAACTCCGGTTGGGGCTTGACTTTTAAAATACTGGTGCTAAATTGACTGGTAGTTGTTAAACTGAATGAATGAATGTTACTGCTACACTGAATGTACTGAACATATGTACCTGACAAGGATGTTATAATAGTGCACTTTATAAAATAATAGTGATAAACAGTACACGTTAATTTACAAAAGGTTCTTGCAGTGTATATTTATTCTTTACTTGACTCTCCTAACACTGCCACAGCTGCACTGGTGGTGCCCACAGTGAGGAACTGGGGCCTGACTTGCAGTTTCCTGATCGCCACCGGGACATGAGGTAGGCTGGCCAAAGGAAAGACTATCTCCTTCCATGTGTCACTGTGTGCCAACTACAGTCGTCGGGCAGCCATCCGTTGGTTATCTTGCCACTCAGGGTGGCGCGTCTGGCATCAACCAGAGCCTAGGCCTTTCCCCATCATGGCCCCTGCTCTGTGGAAGGGGCTCTCTGAAGGGTAGGGGGGCCTCCACTTTCAGGAGGTGCTGCAAGGCTTTTGAGGGGGGTTGAATAGCAGGCATCTTTCAACAGGGGGAGGGATTTGGGGCTTGCTGTTTTATTTTCGGTTCAAGCTGAAGATATTTTAACTGTTATTAGCTGCCTTTGAACCAAGAGGAAAGGCAGGATATAAATGTTTTGATCAAGAAGGAGGGAAGGGCGGAAGACTTGCCCGAGGCTGGCAAACGTACGGCTCACTGGGTCTTTGCTCTGGGGTCCTGCGGTCAGCACAGGCTTGGGATGAGTGCCCCGTCTCACGCAGAACCCCCCTCTCTCTTCATCCCCCAGGTTCATGCAGGTGAAGTTTGGCTGCGGCCGGTCGAGGGAGTACAGCAAGAAGAGGAAGCAACATCCCCAGCTGTGCCCGGCGTATTTGGTCCTCCAGTATAACGAGGAGCTGGACCGGCTGGTGATCAGCGAGCTGAACAGCAACCACGTCCATGCAGAATCGAAGACTTCCCTGACCTCTTGTGATCCGCCTCCGGTGACCAGAATGACTGCCCAGAAGTCTGGCTGCAAAGCCCAAGGCAGCCCCCCAGCAAAGCTGCGTAGGCAGCAGCCTGCAGAGGTGGAAGGCAGCAGCCAGAGCAACGGGCTGAGTGCGAAGGTCCCCACGGAGAGTCACGCAAGGGTGAAGGTGGAAGTGGATTCGGACAGTCACGCAACGGTGAAGGTGGAAATGGATTCGGAGGAATCTCTGCCTCCATCGCCCCACGAAGGTTCAGAGATCCCCGAGGCAGAGAAGGAAAGTCCTCCCAACTCTGCTCTGTTCCGCGTTGGTGAAGTGATGAAAAACTTCCTGCGGGTGGACATGGGATCTTTGGCCTCCATCAGCGCGGGCAGTGACCAGGCCCTGGAAAGACTGAACTTCCAGACGAGCAAAATGAAGAGCTTGTTCGTGAAGTTCCCCGAGAGCCTCCTGCTGCATCAGGTGCAGAGGGAACGGGGCCACCTGCTGTACGCCTTCCTTGTGGAAAGCAAGGACCGGGTGGGGAAGCTTGTGCACTTTGCCATCCTGAGGGAGGACACGGCAGAGAACGCCAGGAAAATGTTCTCTGTCTTCAAGGAGTTCAACCCCGAGTGGCAGAAGATCAAGGTGGTCTTTGTGGACGTGTCCTTCCTCCACCGGCCCGTTCTGCAGGAGCTCTTCCCTTCCGCGCAGGTGCTCCTCTCTGTCTACCACACGGTGCGACTCCTGGAGAAGAAGCTGAAGGAGTCCCGCGCTTCCTTCTCCGTCAAGCAGAACCTGAGGCTGGCCCTGAGGGAGGCTGTCTTCTCCACCTCCAACACTAACCTGGAGACGCTGTCTCAGCAGGTCAAGCGGCTGATCGACCGGGAGCTGTACAGCTATCTCCAGGCCAACTGGTTCTCCTGCGAGATGCTGTGGTACATGCATGCCAAGAAGGGCCTCCATTCCTGCAGCACCTACATAGACAGCCTGGACCTCATCACCCAAAAGCTCGCCAACCTTTTCAGCACGCGGTTCTCCCTGGAGATCAACATCCTCCGCTTTGTGGAATACGCAGACTGCTTCAACACCAAAGGCCTGGAGCACTTGAACCAGGGCTCCGCTAGTGTGGGGGAGGACGGCCGCAGCGGCCTTATGGAGGAGCTCAAGACGACACAGACCCGAGCCTCCGTCCGGCGTGGTTCCAGCACCGCCTCTCAGCAGTCCCCCGTCGCCAGGCCTCTGAAGCAGCTGACCAGATTCTCTCCCGCCAAGCCCGTCTCCACCATGCTGGTCGCTCTGCGGGAGACCTGCACTGACCTCGCCTACCAGCTGTGTCTGAACGAGTGGGACGTCGTGCAGAAGTCCACCCAACTGATGACCTCCACCAAGAGCAAGACGAAGGTCCAGCTGCTGGAGGAGACGCACCAGGTGAGCAGAGACTGCCGGAGGTGCACCTGCTACTTCCACTGCCGCTACCAGCTCCCCTGCCGGCACATCCTGTCGGTGCTTCACGCCAACCGGCAGGTGGTGGAGGAGGGGATGGTGTGCAAGCGCTGGCAGAAGAAGTACCAGCATCTCTCCACTTGGGGGGAGAACCTGCCCGAGTGCCCGGCGCCCTCTAGAGGCACCCCGGGGGCACTGTCCGAGGAACGGCGGGACAAAATCCTCTCTCTCAGCAAGGAGCTGGGTAACCTCCTGCTGCAGAGCGAGGGGGAGGAACTTGAGGAGCGGACCTCCACGCTCAAGATGATTGTGGACATCTGGGCCAAGTCCTGCGAGCTGCGGGAAGAGGAGGAAGAGGAGGCGGAGGGAAAGTACCTTAGTGCGCAGAACATGGAGGATCTCCCTTTCCTCTGGGTGAAGAAGGAAGAGATGGAAGTGGAGGTGGCCGAAGCAACTCCCAGGGCATCTGCGGAGGATGGCCAGACCTTTCAGCTGCCTCCACAAGCAGTCTAGCCTGCAGTGGTCACGCTTCACGCCCACAGTGGTTCTTCCTTCCTCTGTAAAGAAACTCAGGGTAACTGTGAGCTTCTCAGCAATATCACTGATCCTTCCTCTGCCCCTGCTAGGGAAACGTTTAAACAGTCGGAGTTCATTCCTGCCCTGGATGCAACGGAGGCCCGCAGAGCTAACGCTCTCCCCCCCCCCCCCCCCCCCCCCCCCGTCTCAAGGCGGGGCAGAGCCCAAAAGCCTCCAGATTTGCAGTGTACAGCTGCGGCCTTGACAATCGGGAAGGCTTTGCTGCGTATGGAAGGCTTTTATCCACAGGCCCACCTGTTCTGGGGTTTCCGTGTGCTTCTTACCTTTCTTTTTCATAGAAACAAGCACTGCTGCTCTTGCGTAACTTGGTAATTGGGACAGAGAGCCCCAGAACATTTGTGTCCTGCGGATCTCCGAGCCCGATGCACGCCAGCATCGCCGTCTTCAGATCTTGCTCTTCTGCCGTGGTACTCGCGGGGTGGAGGCTGGGCCCTCATTTCCCCCTAGAAAACAAGGCCAGGGGCAGGACGGTTGATCTGGAGCTTTCGTTCTTGGTTCTGAAGCCTCTGCTCGCAGTGGCGAGTTTTGCTGCTACGTATGTAGACCAAATTAATTGTTGGAAATACAAATGTGCTTCTTTGGTGCTGAGTTTATTGTCTGTTTTGCCTGGCGAGCGAGTCTTTGTCCTGCACCCTTGCAGCACTCCAGAACTGAACATGTGACACACAAACCACACCGCAGCCATGCGGGGACTCCCTGCACATGCACTTTTCACAAGTTAGCTGGTACACGACACCAAGGGAACGCCCCAGAGGGTTTGTATTAGTTCCCAGGCGTCCTCTCAGGGGCAGAACTCGCTCTTGCCTACAGGCCCAAAGGACCCTCTTCGCTAGAAAGTGATTTGGGAAGGTGGTGCTGGGAAGGGGGGCTTAGTCCTTTCCGCATCCACAGCACTTCTGCCGCACATAGCACACCCACCCAGAGGCAGACTTGTGTTTGAGGGGAAATGTGGCGGGAGAAGGTCAGCTTGGGGTGAGGAAATGTGACAGATGGGAAAAGAATAGAAGGGCCCTCCCGAGCTGTTCTTCGGGTCCATGTCGCCTTGTCCCATGACGAGATGTCAGGGATGGGCAACGCAAAGCGTACAGCACAGCTGAGTTGTGCCTGTGTTTGTATACGTGGCCTTAACAGATGCCTGCTTGGGAAGGAATCTTCCTCATGGCACTGGAGTTCAGTTGGTGAACATGACTGTGTTCCTGGTGGAGAGACGTGCCTGGCCTTGGTCGTCTTAAATACTTGAAAGCCTTTGGAGAGAGACGGCAAGTTGGGACCACCCCTTGCCGCTGAACGTAGGCTCAGAAGCAGAAGGCAGCCTCGGTTAGAAAGCAGCTCCCCCGTCACTAGTTTGTGGCCTCAACGGCCATCTTGCTTGAAGGCTTTAAAGGAAAGCCGGGACCAGCCTCTGGCAGGGATGCTTTCAGTCTGGGGCAGGGGCTGTAGAGCGATGAGCTGTTAGAGACACTCTAGTTGGCTGTAGGGTCTGTGGGGGCCCCCTTCTTAAGCGTGCAGAAATATCAACTCCTGAGCTAACAGGTTCTCCCTCTGCAGCAAAACTAAATGATGCGGACTGGGTGGGTAACTTTGATACCTGGAGGACTTTTTCCTTCCAAACTCCATGTCGTTCTGACAGTGCCTGAAACTTTGGAGGTTCTGATGTGGTGAGATCGCAGGGAAGGCTGAGGAGATGTCCTGAAATGCTGTTCCTTCAGAGCTCTTGGCTTGGCCTTTATCAGCTGCTGCACACACATTTCTGAGTCTCCCGCACTTCCATGCTCCCGCAAAGTAGTACCAGATAGGCAGGTGAAGCCCTTATCGGTTGAAAGAAATGTGGGTTTGCCCAGGACTCCTTTCATGCTCCTGAAGGATGTTTGACAAAAGTCTTGGCTTTCTTTCCATATATTTCAGGGCAGGAATGGTCACTTGACCCTGGTTATCCTCCAGAGGAGTGATGTAAGTTCTGCAGAAAAGCTGAATGGGAAAACAGCGTATGATCTGATACAACATTTTTTTTAGAGTACTTCATGTTGATTACATCCCAACAGCAGCAAATACTTGATTTTATTA